TTCGCAAGATAGAGGGAAGTAAAAATATGAATGTAGAATATTGAAGTAATGTACTAAAATATTATTGAATAATAAAAACTTTCTATAAATATATATCTCATATTTTCATTTCTTACTTGTAGTGTTTAATTATATTACTTTCTAAGTGGTTGTTTTTCTTTAAATATATGTATTTATTCATGCGTCAAATTGACACGTGTTCGTAGAGATAGGTATAAAGAAATGTCCGTAGACCTAGCGTTAAACTAATAGTTTTATGTATGCAGACGAAGAATTCTATTTTAATTCATTCTTTTTAATAAAGCTTGACTAATGTAATTTACTGATCAATATTTTTAGGCAATATAGATCTTTTATTGCATATTTAACAATTATTAAACGTTTATTCCTTTCACAAACACATCATATTTATTTTTGCAACAAGCGAGATTTGTATTAATCATTTAATCGTTGAAAGCAATGTTACTTTAAATAATAAAAATGTTCACAATATTGTGTAGACGAAGGTAGAAATGAATGATAATTTTGAATGACTTTACACTTATTCAAAGAAATACGGATAAAAAGAATAATGAAAATTTGTTGAAGAAGCCATTTACGAGATAAGCGTATTTGCAAGGTGTTTAATGATGAAATATGCCTGTGTAGTTTAAAAACATGTACCACGTACGTCAATGCTATGTACGCAGTGGATCTTCAAAAAATATTTTGAATTCCTGAAAACAAGAAATTCATGACTAATGTCATGTGCAAACTTTGCGAGTGTAGAAAGTATAAATTGGGAAATTTGGGGATTTAGGGATTTGGGAATCTGAGAATTTGGGGACTTCAGATTTACCTTTCACATGACGTTGTACAATGGTAATTATTATGGTAGTTACAAAATGGTGCACAATTTACGTGATAATTTCTTATTATTTCAGAATTAATTTTATTGGTAAATTTTCAAATTGAAATATTTGGTAATTGTAAATTTGAAGATCGAGTTTGGGAGTTTGGAAATTTAGGAATTTGGAGTTTGAGAATTTAGAGACTTGGGAATAAGGGATTTTTAATTTGGGGACTTGGGAATTTGGGAATTCGGGGATTTGGGAATTTGGGAATTTAGGAATTTCGGAATTTAGGAATTTAGGAATTTCGGGAATTGGGGAATTTGGGAATTGGGGAATTTGGGAATTGGGGAATTTGGGAATTGGGGAATTTGGGAATTGGGGAATTTGGGAATTGGGGAATTTGGGAATTGGGGAATTTGGGGATTTGGGAATTTGGGAATTTGGGAATTTGGAGATTTGGGAATTTAGGGATTTGGGGATTCGGGAATTTGGGGACTTGGGAATTTGGGAATTGGGGAATTTGGGAATTGGGGAATTTGGGAATTGGGGAATTTGGGAATGTAGGGATTTGGGAATTTGGGAATTTGGAGATTTAGGGGTTCAGGGATTTGGGATATATAACAGCTAAGAAGTAAAGTAGTACGTATTATGTATTAATTTTATTAACCCTTTCACTGCGGCGCGATTTTGGAGTAATCCATCAACAGGGACGACGCGTCAGACGCATGTTGGTCGCTGCGCCGTGCAGACCAGTTACCATAACAGTATCCGGAAATTTCATACTATTCGTAGGACTTAAAAAACAATCATTGCAAATTGTTGAAAATAGTAAAAATAAATACAGAAATATGTCGGTAATTTGCCAATAAGTCGGTAATCAAGTATGTATATTTGTCTACTATCTATATGATATCGCTCGTTTCAATTAGATCCTCAAATGTTAAAATAATATAATATCTATATAATTATTCTTTACTGTTTTTTCTGCAATTACGATATCGTACACGTATATTAAAAGATCTTGTGTTGCATTTAAAGTTACCTCCTTGCTGTTTCTCGTTTTAAAATAAATTCATTTAGTGTTCAAATTGTGTTAATTGTGTTGTCTTATATTTAATAGTTTTCAATATTATATTATAAATCTGTACTCCCATTTCCATCACAAATTAATTAAATATATCTATTATTGATTTATTTTAAGTGGCCTTTTATAAAAATGTAGCAAAGCTACATCACATTCTTTGCATTCATACCTAGTTTCTCGACGAATTTTGTGTTTACTGCATACTGTACATTTTCGAGCAGGATTTTTTTTTTAGAAGATGGATTAAAATATGTGCTGGGAAAATGCCTTTCAATAAGACGTAATGGGCGTATATTTAGGTCTCTTGTATACGAGGTGCGATCATTAAGTTCACGGACTGGTCCCGTATATGCAGATACAGTTACTTTTTTCAAATTTGGCTGTTATCCCCTTCAAAGTAATCCCCTTGGGCAATTATACACCGAACCCAGAGCTTCTGCCATTTTTGGAAAGCTTCCTGAAAGTCTTCTTCTTGAAGCGTGTCAAGCACCTCCTGCGATTCGCGTTGAATCTCGTCCACCGTGTAAAACCGCCGACCCATTAGCTTCAATTTCATTTTGGAGAACAAAAAGAAGTCACAGGGTGCCAAATCTGGTAAGTATGGAGGGCGACGAAGGACGATGATGTTATTTCGTGCACAAAACTCTTGTGTTACGAGTGCTCTGTGTGCTGGCGCGTTGTCGTCTTGGAGCACCCAATTCAGCTTTGCTCAAAATTTAAGGTCAAGATCATTTGTACCTCCCCAAATGACATCATCATGATATCGGAAATTTGGTTGATGGTGATGCGTCGATCTTCATGCACAATTGCCCGAATTTTTTCCATGTTTTCGGAAGTGTTGCACGTGAGTGGCCGCCCGGATCTCTCGTCGTCTTCCAAAGATGTCCTGCCATTTTTGAATCGTGAATGCCACTCAAAACAGCTCGTCCGACCCATTACTTCATTCTCGTAAGCCTGTTTTAACATTGCGTGCGTTTCGGTCGCCGATTTCCCGAGTCTCACACAGAATTTAATGTCAGCTCTTTGTTCCAATTTGGAGTTCATCGTAATTTCTCAGCGGAGCGCGCGCGTATGCTACTATAAAATTGTATAACACACGATTTAATGAACATATCGCTTCCAAACTTCGTGACATTTCTCTTGAAGATTGTTATTCATATATTCTGCGAGCGCATGTCAATTGTGTGAACCGTTTGGTCACAGCAGACACAGTCCAGGAACTTAATGATCGCACCTTGTATGTATATCGATAAACATCTAGAACAATATTTACATCTTTCGTGTATATCGATAGACTTCGCAGGACGTATATATACGTCTTTCGTAGCGAAAGGGTTAATAGTGATACGTTTAAAAAATAATGAAATAGTAAGGTAATTTGACAGGCACTTTGCTCAAAGATTATAGTTATTTATTTGATGATAAACTACCGATAATACACTGAAAGTAGTAATCGTTGCAAGTATATCTTCATACAGTATACAAATATAACGTAATAACCCATATTTACGTAAACGATAAACACATATTACTCATCATCGACAAATTAAAGACAAACGAAGCAAATATGAAGACGGGAGTAAGTATAAAATGAATGCTACTTGAAATAACATGACACTCGAAGGAAGAATTCAACGAATAGTGTAAAAATATAAAAAACTACAATGACCCGTTTTCTCTTTGCGTTGTTCGTCGCTCTGGCAGTTTTTTCTGTTTGTAAGTACAAAGCATACTAAAATCATATTTTCACTACAACGAGCACATGAAATGTTTCTTTTAATTGTACTTTAAAAATCTAATGTGCTTTTTATGATTAAGTTACTTTTGTCGATTAATCATTACTTATGAATATTATTAAAAAAATATTAAGAGAACTGCATGTTTATTTTGGTAACAATTCAATTATTGAGTATTATAGAACAAATATTTGCTTAAGAAGCTCGCTGTTATTTTGTAGCTGATATACGATACAGCGTTAAATACGTATATATAATCTGTTCGTAAATAATGTTTAATAGTTGAAGTCTAATCTAGAAATAAGTATAGAAAATAATGAGTAAGGAATTATACACTAAACTGTCATTTCATGTTATTTGATTTTTTTGAAAATGAAAGTGACATGAATATTATGATTATGTATGTAATTAAAATGTTGAAAAATTATGATTATGTAAAGATATGGTTGAGGAAAAAATCTTGTTCAAAATTATTATTACCAAATTCAGAAATTTTAAATCTTTCAAGCTTTTAAATTTCCAAATTTTCTAATATAGCTTGGAATTTTCTAATCTTCCAAATTTGTACGCTTTCAATTTTTTAAATTTCCAATCTTCAAGTTCATATTTTCTCGAATTTCCAAATCGCCAAAAGTTCTCAATTTTTTAAATTTCTCAATCTTCGAGCTTTTAATTTCTCAAATTTCCAAATGTATAAGTTTTCAATTTCTTAAATTTCTAAATCTACAAAATCTCAATTTTTTAAATTTCCAAATCGCCAAAAGTTCTCAATTTTTTCAGTTTCTAAATCTTCGAGCTTTTAATTTCCAAAATTTCCAAATCTCCATATTCTCAATTTCTCAAATTTCCAAATCTGCATATTTTCAATTTTCTAAATTTGTATATTTCCAAGTTCTCAATTTTCAAAATGTCCAGATTTCCAAGTTCATAATTTCAAAATGTCCAAATCTCCAAGGTTATAATTTTCAAAATTTCCAAATATTCAAGTGCCTAAATTTTCAAATCTCGCGATTAAAAAATATCCTCATCTCCAAAATTTCAAAAAAAACAAATTTCTAGTTTCCCAAGTAAGTATATCCCTAAATTTCCCAATTTCTGAAAGTCGAATTTTCTTTTTAAAAACCTTCAATTTCTAAATGTCTTTATCTTCAAACTAAAAAATTTCAAGTATAAGATGTCTAGCACCTTATCGCAGTTGACCTTCCACTACTTGTCTATTTGTATCACTAATAAATAAACATGAGTTGGAAATTACATACGAATACGTACAAAACTCGCGGTTGTTAAAATAATTTATCCAATTGCCCTTGTAATTTATCAACACCAAAACTGCAAGATGAAATTCTAATGAATCGTTATCAACTTGAAACAGTGACTTTGGTTGACGCGCAATGCGGCGAAAATCAAGTTTGGGATAATTGTGGTAGTAGCTGTCCAACGACTTGCGAAGATTCTGGTCCAAAAACATGTATCATGGCGAGTATTTTTGTATCCTACTATTATATCATTTTTCATGTACTGATGTATGTCCCAAGAAATTACAACTTTTATCAAGAAACCGAAAAGTCGTTTCAAAATCAAAGCAATGGATAAAAGACGAAATGTAGAAAGTTATGTTATAAGTACATAACTTAATATTATATATATTGTATTATTTACTGTATTATAATGTGTAATAATATCATTATATCTGGAATAATATCATTATATTATACTAGTAAAACCTGGCAGACGTTGCCCTGTCTGTCCATATTTATTGACCTCCGTACATATAAAAATGGCTTATCTGCATGCAACCTAGAATCTATAATTCGTTGTAGAAAGATGTTGAAAAATGAAAGATAGCTTGTACCAATGAGATTTCATTGTTTGTGTTGGTATAAGTTGATGATATACATTTTTTTATTAAGAAGTCGCTCTGTAATTGAACTAACTTAAAGTCCATTTTTTGTAAAAAAGTACCCCATATTCATGTTTCAGTCTCTTCAATTTAATGAGTGCAGGAACTGTATTTGTTTATGGCAGGGGTCAGCAACCTGCGGCTCTTTGGATGTGAAGCTGCGGCTCTTTAGTTCCATACGCAAATATTATTTATTTTATCAAAAAAAAAAAAAAAAAAAAATTTAAAAATCGTTTTGAATCGATTAACGAGGATTAGGCACCGATTCTATCTCTCAACCACTTGTACTCGCTTTTCACCGCATCCCTCCGCCGTGACACGCGTCGTCGCTGTCGTCAACTGTTAGTGTTATAAGTAAATGTTTAATTGTTTTAATTTTTTACTTAAATAATAAGTAATTATCTAATAATGCCATATATATTATCTAATTTGTTGTGAAAAACACTACTTATATACGAATAAATAGATATTTTTTCTTATGAATAAATAGATTAGTTTTCTTTTATCAAAAGACTTTATTTATGCGAGTACTATTTATTGTTGGCAAGACAAAATTTTGTGGCTCTTTAAAAACTTTGAAATTTTGTAAATTGTAATTTTTGACTCTTCCGACTCAAAAGGTTGCCGACCCCTGATCTATGATTATTACGTACCGAATTATTTCATTTTTATTTGTTTGCTACGTCCCTTTTTGCCCCGCCCATTTTTTATATACCTAAAAACCTTCTCCATGGAAAAATACAAATGTGTGCCAACTTTCACCGTGATTGGTCAAACGGTGTCGAAGTCTATTAATTTCGTACATACAAACTTCCATTTTTATATATGTATATAGATTATGAAGTTGTAATATAACTTCAAAGTGAATGATAATGATACTTCAAAAATGTCTCTTTCTGAGTACATAGGTATAAATATGTATATCAGAAAATGTACATTTAGTATACATCCACACATATATTTAGTATGTTTAGTATACATGTGGATGTGTGTATGCATGCATATGTGTGGATATGTGCATATGAGTGCATGTATATGAATAATTATATCGAATGTATTGTACAGTATATCTGTTTTAACTAACAGATTCAAATATTATACACAAAATCAGATGAAGGTTGTATGATAACAAGGGAACATACCTTGTCAACCTTAATGCATCCCGTGAAGGTTGTACCAAGTTTCTGGGTTAAATGGACAGCTTGTACTATACCGTACCCACATGACATATTTATCTCGTGCATTTAATCCTCTTATCGTCTAATCACATAAATCGTAAATTTATGTTTCAGCAATGTGTTGCTGGCTGCACATGTAAGGAAGGATTTGTTAAAAACAGTGTTGGAGCTTGCGTCTCGCCATCTCAGTGTTAATTGCCCGCAGAATAGGTTATTTTGGATATGACTTGATTGCTTCCCATAAAATTTTCATTTTCGGTCCGAGAAAAGCAGAGTATGCTTACAGTATGCTTATGTAATAGTTAAATAAACTATTTGGTTGAATTGCATGGGAATGTAGTATTTTCTTTTTCACTTTATTGTTAACATCTGGAAGCTTTCGAAGCTGTTTATAAATTTATATTATTATAACGTAGATATCTACATTATTCAATTAAGTAAAATGTGCTCTTCAAATCAGCTTTGCAATTTTCATTTTTAATTTTCTTTGCATTTTTGCGACTTTGTCTGAAATATAATACATATACATATTCGACGTGAAAGAAATGAAAACGCTTGCTAAATTATGTATATAACAGATTTGAAAGAAATATATGAATGTGAAGCAAGAAGGTTTATTACTGTGAAATAAATAATATATTATAAATTATATTTTATATAAACAAATATATAAATGTTTGATAGTTCGACATAATTAGTCGAACTATATTTAGTTTACAAATAACAAAACTATAAAAGCTATTTATTATAATAATAAATAATACGCTATAAATAGTACAATGAATAATACACAAATAATAAATAGTAATGAGAATTATTATGCAAGAAGGAAAATTTAAGGATTGTTCTATAGCTACATCATGCAACATAATTTATTTACAACAAATAAGCACATAACAAGTGTTATATAATTACTAGTTGATATAGTAATATTATAAAATAATATTATATGAAACTTGTTGATATTTATCACTTGTAATTAACTTCACTTGGAAATGAAATTGAAACGTGTTATTTTTTATCTACCGAGAAAAAACCCTTTAACAAGACAAAAGTAGGTTTAGATACAAAAGATAGGAAAAAAATAGGAAGGTAAAAATTATAATTACCACAGTAAAATAAGAATTTCAAATTGGAACACGCAATACAGCAATTATCTATATCTACCTAAATAAGCACACATGCAGGATTTAATAATAAAGACTATACATGCAAAACGTATAAATCGCTATACATAAACGTTTGCTCAGGGCTACTACAATAAACAGATTTCTTATCAGTCTATTATTTGTATCCTTGATGTCCACCATTGTTCATCGTAACTAATACAAGTTTATTTAGTTTACGTGGTATTTTATTTGTAATAAACTACATTGTGAACGTGACTCTCTGGTGTGGCGGTTTACTTACACACGCCACTGTTCTTAATCTTCGTGTATCATTTCTCTAAACCAGTGATTCTCAACAGTTTTATACGGCACCATCAAACTTGAAGCATTTAAGGTATATCTTACACATAACAATTTAAAAAGAATTTCTTTACACTATTATTTATGTATTATCATTTTGAGAACCATACTAGAGCAATTGAAATTTTTATTAGATAGTGTTTTTATTTTTAACAAATCTCAATACGGGTATTTGCAATTACCATTGCAACCTAATGGTAAATGAGCAAATTTTTAATTACATAAGTGATATTGTCGTATTCACATATAGACGGTTGTTGTTACATTTTTATTTGGTTTCTAACAGAAAAATCAGACAAAAAAATTATGATATGATTATGTATCATAGAGAGAAAGAAAGAATCCTTTAGATAAAAAGATCTATTCCTTTACCACAGAGTAAACCAGAGGTGACACTCTCTGTGGGCATCTTTGATTTCTCGAAAACGCTGTCCCTTTAAATTGGTTGTACAAACGAGTGGGAAATTTAAATCGAGCAAATCTACTTACATGCCAACCTCTAATAATTTGGAATATATTTGTAATAAATTTTCTGTGTATTACTAATATTGTCTTTTGAGGTATTTTTATCAATTTTACAACGTTAAAAAGCTGAAAAAGAAAAGAATATACTAAAATGATTACTCTACAAAATATATTTGAAGAATACGTATTAGGGAAATGATTATTACAAATAACTTATAAGAAAATGAAAAACTATATTCCACAAGAAATTACAGATGAATGTGTTACAAAGACATGGCAAAATATTTATTAAAATAAATTATTGGTGAATATGCAGGTTTAAACTATTCTTTTTCGGCCGCCATACTTCTACACTGTGCACACCCCGATTCTTTTGATTTGGGCATTTAAATTGGTTGTGTCCTCTGTCTCTCTCTAGGACATAGGTTTCCTTGTCTAGTGTCGCCTCTTGTACTCCTACACCTTTACTCTACAGGAAAATATTGTATTTTGAGAATTAATTTAAATCACAAAAGAATTAAATTGTTAGTTAATATTTTGTACGTTAAGTCTAAAATCCATTCAAGGTAAGACAGTTTTCTTTTAAGACAAATTCTGCTTCTTTGATAACCTGACTATACGCATATACATACGAAGTAATATCGCTGTCATGCATGTCTTGCCGAGAATTTTGCTCTTTAATGATTATATGACAAATTTCTCAGAAGTAGATCGAGAACTGTGTCGTCTCTTTGAATAAATGCACACGCAAAGCTGCAAATTCTCACGTTTCCTAGGTACTTCAACCCGTCCTTCATTCCTCATTTTAAAGCTCTGCGAGAGGCTGCTGGAAAATCCGTTAATTTCCACCTAATACGTGCTTTTGGCACAGAGTACCTTTTGAAGGGATCAGAAACTCTTAATCTACAATTCTGTGTAAATTCGATCGAATTTCCTCGCTATATAAGGAATAACGCAATAAACAAATTGCAAGATGTTCCGAAGTGTGACTTTGACATTTTAACGATCTTTTGCGTAAAAATATAGTTTCAAAGAGCTTATGATCCTTGGCTCGCAAATGGTTTATAGTTTATGAAATATTCAACAGTGAAGTTATTATTACAGTATTATCTAGCTAATAAGGCGTAGGCTTTATCTTTTTGGCGTGACCATTGAAACAATTTTATGGAATATCTTTTTACTATTTTCCAGTTTCTTCAGTTCTTCTTTTTCCATTTTGTTTTAAGATTTTAAGTGACTTTCCGACATATCTTTTAAGATAGATATGTACTTTGAATATACGAAGTATATAGATAATAAGTTTTATAAAATCGGTGACATTGTACAAATTTTAAGTGCCATTTGCATCGAATAAACATCCTGTAATTAAAAACTGTAAGGACTTTTCCATGGTTTCATTTGAACTAAACAAAATACATGAACGTAATAAAAATTCACTTCATGTGAAATAAACGAAATAGCATAAAATAAAATATAATGGATACAATAAAAATAAACCCCATTTAAAATAATTAATACACGTTGATAGAATAAAAATCCACCTCATATGTAGCACAAATTTATAGACAATTTGTGTTGAAAATACACGAAACAATCTAACGGGAGTCCTCGCATGTCACAAAGATTATGAAATTATAAATTGTAAGGGTAATATGGTCTCAATTAGAAGGATAAAATATTTACATTGTAAGCATGATTTTTTACCCTTAAACTCAGAAACAAAAAATAAGTAACAAAGTAGTCAGAAAAAGAACATGAGATGAGCAAGAGTAATGTGCAGAACTAAAAAAAGGTAGCGACTGTGAAATATAATGGGTATTTTAAAAAATATGGTGGTGGTTCATCTCAGTCACGGAGTCTACCTCTCAAAATTACCCTAATAGCAAGAAAAGGTGCTGAGTTGGCGTTTGACTATCTGGTTCACTATTAATAAACGTTGCACATGTGTCGGTGCACATGTGTAAGCGAAATGTTCAGTGACATTGCTGCAGGGTGATTCGATTGCAAGATACAAAGAATGCCATACGTCAAACATATCGTTTTACCTCTCTTTGACAAGTCATGAAGGATAGACATTGTCAGCAGTGCTTACGGTAATGGAGAGGATTGTATTGTGACAAGATACACCCTAGATTCTAGATTTTAGAGCCTGGAGTTGATAGAGCAAATAGGAAGCACGGCTGAGTGGCATATTTGACAGCAGGAGCTTTGTATCTCTTAGCAAACGAATCAGTTCGTGTTAAGAGGTTTCGGCCAAGAGGTTTAATGGTACTTGCGAGAATATAGTACGAATATCCGACGTTCTGCAGCGGTTCTCAATCGTTTAAAAATCTGGGTTACCACGATCGGCATGCTTGCGTGTTATAATTATTTGTTATAAAAAATTTTCATTTTTTCTGATTTTCACGGGTTTTCACATACAGCTACTTTTCACCTTTCAACCAAAATTTGAAAATTTTTACGTTTTCAAATGCGCAAATTTTGAAATTGCTATATTCCATATATATGCGAATTTTTTGATTATTAAATATCTAACTATTCAATTTCGCGAATTTCTAAATCTCTAAAGTTCATTTCTTGATATTTTAAATTCTGCAAGTACTTATCAAATTTTCCAAATTCCCTAAATTTACAAATTTTATAGAAGTTTAAATTCTCAAATGATTAAATAAAGAAACTGCTAAAGCATTAACTTCCCCAAATGTCCCACATATCAGAAATATTACAAATGTCACAAGTGTAAAAAATATAAAAAATATTAAAAATTTTGAAAATATCAAAAATATCAAAAATGTTACAAAAATTACAAAATTTCCCATATACAGTACATTGGTATTAAATAAAAACCACTTTAATGTAAAAATGGTTATACATTAAATAATCAACTTTGACTACATGCTCCTCATTTAATATTATCGAAATTAAAATATTTTTTGCATTTTAACAAATATTTTAAGGAGGTTACATCTAAATGAAATGACCTGTATCTCTTATTAAAAACAAAGGAATATTTCTTTCTATTTCAAAGTCTATGATTTATTCTGTTGCAAATTCTTATTTTTTCAAATTCAAATAAAATTCCAAAACGACCGTATTAATCTTATTATCCATATGTATACAACGTAATGCGCTTTATTTCACTCTCTTCGGCTTTGTAATTTTCAGAACTTCAGATAAGACCGTGAAAACAATGACTGTATGTTTAATGGTGGTATGAAAAACATCTTTGTTTAGTGAGGTTTATATGCAGAATTAAATAATTGATCTGAAATAACATTTTCATTTATTACTTAATAGGGTCGTATGCAGACTCGGTACCAGAACCGTTATCATTTAAAACAATTATTTATAAGTAGAAAATTTGTAGATTATATAACATGATTTCTTTACCGTATTTGTGAACATAAAATGCTAATAAACTATGTATAAAATAGTAGAAAATACAACCAATTTTGCAAAATTATTTATGGTGAGAATCTTGGATTGCGAGTAGAAGATGAATAAAAAGAGATATATGAGAATGATTCTTCTCGTGATTTTGGTAAATTTGTAAGAGGTAGACCATTTATATAACAACCCGTAATTTTTTCGTTGCTCTAATGTGGAGAATATAAGAACGCAGAACATATTTCATACGTCACACACCCCTACTATTTTATACCGCATGCCAACGCGTTGGGGTAGGAAAATAATTATTGTATTAATAACAGAAAGTTTAAAATACATATTTTTATCAGGAATTACATTTTCTAATTTAACACGTTGACTACCACGTCATACATACATTAGTGATAGGTTAAGTTTCTATACTAAACACGCGTATTATTAAAAACTTGTTCACCTAATCCAAAATTCTCGCATTAATTATATGGATCTATGGAAAATATAACAAGATATTATGAAAATAATTGATAAAAATTATTAAAAATTAAAACACTGCTGTATTGAATTGAAAATTGCTTCAAGGGTGGCAGTCAATGTATTAAGGAATATTTATAATTTTTCTGCTAGTAATTTTCTTATTTAAATTATTATTTAACTATTTTAATTAATCTTTTTCTAAATTTTATAAAAATTGTATGAAAAATTAACGAGCTGTAGATAATTATCTACATTATCTATTCCTTGTAAAAAAATTATATATATTTATTAATATTAATTATATATAAATTTTTAATTATGTCCTGTATGTATGTACTTGATACATTTAAATGTATGTTTTAAAAAAATTTCTATTATATGACTTAATTCGAAATATTACATTACAAACAAAAGTGAATGAACCGTCTACTAACAAACTGTTGATCAGACATTCATAGTAATCTCGTAACGATTTATTCAAAGGCATTCATGGAAAACAATGTTTCCGAGAACCAATTCACGTAAAATTAAGCAAACAAGGATTAATTCACTCTAACAGGAGGCAATAACAATAAAATTACACAGTATTTTTCCCGCAGTAGTATGCACATATCGATATTAAAATTCGGTAATAAATTTCCTTATCGCGGAAAAAGGAAAGAATGATCCAAAAATCAAATACAACGATAAATGAAACAAAAGCGGGATACACGTATTCAATCTCCTTGTTTTGCCCCGGATGACGTTATTTTTACAGCCTTTTAAATCAAACTCAAACAAGGCGAATGTATCGAGACACAGAATTAGTATAAAAGCAATTTAATTCGAACTTTTCTCCACAGATCCAACGGAACAACCAAACGAATAATATTCGATCAAAATGTCTCGCTACGTTCTTGCTTTACTTGCCATTTTGGTAATCGTTTCGGCCAGTAAGTAACCAAACTTTTAATAATATTATCAAATATTCTCATCGTACAAAGTTTCATCTCTGTCATCGAAACATCGATTGTTACATTCACTAAGTTCGCAATCCACTTTAGTACACTTCTTTTTTCTTATTCACTTTCTTATAGTTTACTTTAATTCGCGAATGTTCGCTTCGATAGTTTTACTTCGATTTAATCACTACTAATCAATTTAATTTCAACGGAAATTAATTCAATGAACGTCATTGAATCGAAAATTTCAATTAACGTGTTACAAGATTGAGTTTCATTGAAGATTGAACGGATATTAATTTAACACAATTTTAAACAACGTGTTTAAGTGTAACTTTCAAGATTAAATTTAGTTCAAAATTTCATATTTGACGATTTAAATATATGTAGTAAACAAATTATTTAATTTTTATGAAGTTATAATTGTTATAACAGGTATAAGGTTTTAATTTTTATAATTAGTGTTTCAATTTAATTTTTATAATTTTATTGCAATAAAATTCAAACTAAAATACTTGATTTATTTCTCAGATAAAGTAAAAAGATTTCGCAAATAAAAATCCAGGCTTTTGTGCCCAAAATTAATCAACTAAATAAAGAAATTTGAAAAAAATGTGGAAATTGAATTTGGCGGAAATATTTTCACTATTTGAACTCGAATAATTTTAATATTTATATTAAAAACCTTTGATCCGGAAAATTTGCCTTCTGTTAATTACACCGATTTCATTTCTGCTGTTTCGTAAAATTTTTCATTTTCATTTCAATTAAAAATTTTGTTCATTTCATTAGATGATAGAACACTTTAATTAAAAATAAATTCATATTCATAACGATGCAATGAAAATAAAGTTTTTCTATGAAAACCATGTTTTTTTTAAAAATTAAAGTGTCTTTGCGTATATTTACATAAGAAGTGCGTTTAAGTTTGAAGTAGTCACTAAAACTCTTTATAGAGAATTTGTGTTGAAAATATACCACGAAACAATCTAACGCAAGTCTTCCCATATCATAAAAGTTATGAAATTATAAACTGTAAGGGTAATATGACCTCAATTAGGAGGATACAATATTTACGTTCCATGTAAACATGATTCTTTAACCTTAAACTCCGAAACAAAAAATAAGTAACAAAATAGCCAAAAAAAAAAACATAACGAACAAAAGTAATGTTCAAAACTAAAACTAGATGTATTAAACGCCTAGTATTAACCAGTAAAATGACGAAATTATTGAATAATATGTGATCTAACGAAAGATTTAATAATTTTTAGCTGCTGCCAGTTCAAATTCGCCAGAATGCCCGCCAAATGAAATATGGAATCAGTGCGGTAGTGCTTGCCCCCAGACTTGCAAAGAGCCTAAACCTCGTCCATGCACACTGGTACGTATCTTCTTTTTATTATTAGTAACATAAGCAAAACTTTGGTATCATCTCTATTTGGTATTATCTACCAATCTGCGTTAATTTAAATTACTCTGTTAATTGCTGACTTATCACCTAATTAAACTTACATGGTCGTTACTACTCGTTGAAATACCTGTTCATTTGTTTAATAGTATCCACTTAAATGACTTGTTTATTTGCTTATTAACGCAACTAAAAGACCTGATTATTTATCAGTCAGTTAAATGACTTATTTGTTCAGTAATAGACGGTGAAGAATTGTTTATACGAAAGAAATTATCAAAATTCAAAGAACTTAACTTTTAACCTTCCCTAAATATTTTTAGCTTCTTTTCTTTTTAACGAATGATTGAGTTTATAACGAAACTTAGAAGCAAATTTCATTCTGCAATTTGAAAAAAATAAAATGCAATTTACTTTGAAAGTAATGTGCAAATAGGGTGTTCTAAAAAAGATGCAATCTAAAAATTGTTGAAAATTTATTCATTATATTATTGACTTGTATTTTCATGCTATTAAATCATGCCAAATTTTATTAACGACTTGGTTAGGATAACTTTCACACATGAATTTTATACATGAAACATTAAAGAGGAGGTTAGGTAATTATTTTCAATAAATGTAATTCGTTTCTGTTCTTTTCATCAACTTTCCACATTTTGATCTGCAATATTCGCTAAAAATGCATGAACTGCAAATAGATGTTAGGTTAGAAATGAATGACCAATTAGTAGTATGTAATAATAATGTGAATAGCAGAATCGATATTTCCATCACTTTCTATATGTAAAATTTGGAAAGCAGAAAATTTAAACGCGAGTTTAAAGCTGAAGGTTTCAAAATCTTGTGATGAAGAGAGGAAAATGTTTTTAAATATATGTGCACCTATTTTCTGATATCGTAACAAATTTCTGGTATCTTGATACGAAGTTTTATTTTACTGCTCGTAAACTATAATCATTGTTTTTTACTATCACTATGTGAATAATGCAAGCAGAAACTTATAGAACCCAAAATATCATAAAAGCAATTGAACTATATTTTCTGCTGAAATGTAGAAATTGCTTCAATTTCCAATTCTCAAATAATTTTTTAAAAGTTTACATTGCAAAAGGACTGATTCTTTTGTATAATCATGTTGATAAAAGTTTCATTGTTTCCGGCTCATTTCGTACACGTTATTTTTATTGCGTTTTGTTTTTACAGCAATGCGTTCCACAATGCCAATGCATGAAAGGACTGCTTAGAAACAGCAAAGGAAAATGTGTTGAACCTAACGAATGTTGTTAATTTGACACGATACAAAATGATTAATCTTTAAATCTCTACTTCAATCTTAATTACTTCCATGGAAATTTTCTTTTGTAACTGAATTTTAATTATATAAGGTTTAAATAAATATGCACAATACAGTATTCACATACAAATTTCAATGATTTTTCTTCCTATTCTCATCCTGTCGTAGTTAAGCTTAACCCCTAATTAATTAAATCTATAATCTTTTTAGTAACCATTTTTGCTTGAATGCACGATATAAAATGAACGAAGTCTTAATTTTTATCGCATGCGATCATTTTAATTAAGGTGTAATGGTACAATTAAGAACAAAATTCTTTGAGCTTAACTCTTTGGAGCAGCCCTATTCAGTTCTTTGAAACCTTGGGAAGCTACAGGAAACTTTAGCTTCTACTCAGGGTTTGAAGAGGTCATAAAGTTTATGACTGGCTTCATATTTTCGTTCTTCTTCGAAATTTACTCTGTTTCATTTCACGGTTTCTCTTACCTTTTAATCGGATATAATGAATTAGCTTGTAATTCGATTGATCAATATGTTTGATAGTAACATACAGTAGAGAACAAAAGTATTCGTACACTTGAAATATACAAATAAAAAGAACAATATTTTCTATATTATTAAGTATATTTAATCATATATAGCTGTATACTAAACATTACACTTACAGCAACAAATAACCCAAACATTACTTACAGCAACAAATGACCGAAAACCGAAGGCAATAACATTATGTAGTAACTTGAAATGACTTGAAATTCACGAGACCGTAAGAAATCATCGGAACAAAGTATTCGTACACTTAATTATTGCTACAATTATTTTTAGCAAGAATTTTATAAATTAATATTTTGTGCGATAACCTTCCGACAATTCACTTCACGTAATATATCGGGCATTGACAACACCAAACTTTTAACGAAGTCAGGTTCTATATTACACCATTCTCTTTTCAATATTTCTTTCAAGTGTTCTTTCGACGTTATATCATGTTTTCGCGCATTTTTTTCTAGTTTCGCCCATATATGTTCGATAGGATTTAGGTCAAGCAATTGTAGAGGAGTTGTTAACTTGTGGGGAGTATCTGTATTAACAACCATTGACGCCCTATACATATAGGCTGTATGTTTCGCGTAACAGTTTTGCTGAAAATAAAATTCATCTAATTCATAAATCTAATTCATTCTAATTCATCTGCCCTATTTTGTAAATTTTCTTTTAAAATATTTAAATATAAATGTTTATCCACTATTTTATCTATTATTACTAAATTGTCGTCTCTAGAAGCAGCAATACATCCCCACACCATCACATTTCTACCTCTGTGTTTCGTCTGTGTTATTGCCTTCAGTTGTGAGTTATTTGTTGCTGTAAGTGTTATGTATAATATGCAGCTATATATCATTAAAAATACTTAATAATATAGAAAATATCGTTGCTTTTGTTTTTACATTTCTAGTGTATAATTGTTGTATACAAGACTTACTCACGTTAATATTTATTGAAAGTACGAAGAACTTTGCAGTTGTATTAAAAGTGCAAAGAGTTGTCCCTTGATAACGGTTGTCCCTTGATAAAAAAATCAACAGATTAATGTAAAGGAACGGTAGGTTTAGTTTGTACCTGTGTACTTAGAATTAATGAATTTTACATGTCATAGCCGCGAGGGAAATATTTGAATCCCATGTGTCAAATTTTGGATGTTTCTGCTTTAGAGGTAATTCGTCTGAGTTATGCATTAGACGAACGAAGCGTTTCTGCTAAAACAGAATGTTAATAAGCTCCATGAAAACATCTAGTATTCATAGAATGTAAATGGTGCATTATTTTTGGCACTCGCGTTATTTAAGTATTTTTTATGCATGGCACTTTAAATGCCCGAAGATGTACTTGTTACTGCGTAACAAATATTATACAAATTTGTAAGTCGTTAAAGTGACCTGTGACCTCTCAAGGTAACAAAAATTAACCATCCAGGTAGGGCAATTGAAAAACATATTTCGACGAAACCTTCTAAAATCATAAAGTCAAAAAGTTCATTCTAAAATCATAAAGTCAAAAATCATAAAGTCAAAAAGTTCAATAATATACATGATTACCCGTACAGATGCCATAAAAAAGGTCACCGGTTTACACACCTAGGAAAGTTAAAAAATTTACAATCTCAACCGCCCTAAACATAGAAGCTCCAGAGAACTTACCTGAGGCTAACGGTAGTCCCCGCCAAATGTATGTCATTTCCCCAAACTCAAGAAAATTTCGAATCACCAATCAGAACCGTTGTTAGAAAAAGCCCCCACTATAAGAACAAGTTAATGTCCATAGAAAATTTTGCGAGAAAGCTCAGATACAAACATATCAGCATACGAACAACATTAAAATAATCTTCTACGTGCCGTCCGATAAAATTCACAAACTTATACTTTAAAATATTCATAGTTGTATTAGTAAATATAATAAGTGTTACATGGAACTTTATCATAGTATTCATTATCCAACATTTTCAAATATTCACTCGCCGTGAAGTCTGCGTGTGAAGTGAGCATTTTCGAAAGTAGCTTTCAATATAAAAATTAACTATTTTGCTCACGAGTCAACAGTACTCTTGCAGATGTTATTTATAAAAAGTTTGTGAATGCGTTGTTTAAGATAAGCCATTTACATAATTGAATTTTTTAATGACAAGTTTCATGACAAGTTTCTTCATTCGGTTAACTCTTAGACAATAGAATACTTATTAAAAAATCTTTGTCTCAAATCAGAGTATTTCTGTTAAGAAAACTTGTATTTAAAATTGTTAGTAACAAGATCATTTTCTGTTAATTTAATTTTTATTGTAAATACAAAAGGATGATTCTTTGGGTAGAATAATATATAGATAAGAGATTAATAAAATTAAAATTATTGCTTCAAACTAAATTAGTTTGAAACAACGATATCTATGTTGTACTCATGTGATCGGTAAAAATAATTACCATAAAATTTTATAAAGAAAGAAAAATGATATAAAATGTAAACCATTTGAATTTTAGTTCTGGACTGAGCTGAAAAATTCTCCTCAGACTGTTTCCTAAGAAATCAAAAATAAAATTTGTATTATAGAAACAATAAATGTTAGTATTATCGAATCTCATGCCTTCATATTTTATTTATAAGCACCCCCTATTTGCAATCTTTTGAAGCTGCGTCTCTGTTATACGAATTCCATAGGAAAAAATTTCATATTTATCGTAAAAACAATAGGACACTTGTCGAACAGAGAATAAATATATGAACGTCTATACGTCACAATTTATCAATACACTGTGTTTGATCATTTATAAATAGTGAAAAACTCTAAAGCTTAAAATCTAAATGGTACATGAGTGTTCTAAAAATATAACAGAGATATATATATAAACCAAACCATAAGAAATATATAAAATATGCAGCAAAGGTTTGAAACTATCGATAATAATTTTTAATGTTCCATACTGGTTTTAATATTGAACATCAGGAATGTTCGAATATTAACACCGAATGGCTATGATTAAAACCCATATCAAACGTCCGAAAAAATGCCGAAGAAATTTAATTTCATAACTGCCAAATATTTTATTATATGCATACAGTATATGTAGTTACATATACTCCGTCAATTTTAAATAAATTTTCCAAAAGTATAGCAGAATAATCTTTGCACTTGAAGGTAATTTGTTTGCAAACAGCGACTTTAAAACTTACTGGTATAAAAGTTAAATGAATTCTTTTCAGGTTATTTCTCCTCTAATAATTTTCACTATTGTTTGTTTCACTTTATAGAATCAAATTTTACTTTATATTATAGAATCAAATAAAACATGCTTCTTTCAAATTATTATATTAAATAAAATTGTGATTGAGTCACCTCTTGAGCCCGAGGGGTGAAAGGGGTTAAAAATATTTCAGACAAAAATTAATAGTATTTATACCATTATCTTGAAAACCTCCGTGAAAAGTTTCACAAAATAATAATTCCATGTTTCAAAATCATATTCTTAAAAATCGTTCATGTATATCATCCGTTCTTTTTAATAAAAATTTTCTTTCAACGTGTATTATCCTTTTCTAGATTCTACTTTCCTCTACATGAAACTTTAAAAACCTGAAACTCGTTTAAAAAGGTGACTGAAATATGTCTAACTGAATTTATTTATTTTAACTGAAACATGTTTGCTTCCGCTTTGACGCCTAGGTCACGCTAAATTCAGTGTCGTTTAAAGATTAACCTCGCGTTATGGTAATGTTAAACACCTACCGCAAACGTGACCTCTAAAGAATTAAGTCAATTCATATATTTCTCATATTTCATATCCCTTTTGTTACTGGCAATAAATGTTCAAGTGAAGTCGGAACAAGGATAAACTGAACCCCGTCTGTCTTATATAGATTTATGGCTTGTACTTGTGCTGTTTTCAACCCTCCAGAAAGCTTAAACTTGTCACGTACGCAAGAACGCCCGAGTCTTTTTCAGAAAACAGCGGTTGTCATTGAGAAACTCTTCTTGTATAGTGAAGTACACTTTCCTTAGGAAAGTGTTTACAGTTCCTTAAAATTTATAAATAATTCTAATATGCATAATTGTATTAATTTTTGACAATTATGATAAACCTTGGTTACGTAAACACTCTACGCAGTACACTAGTTTGTCTAATTTTATAGAGGTAAGAAGTATTTATTTTAATTTCTCTGTTAAAATGTTCAATGCAAGCTTTGAAAATGAACATTTTAAAAAATATAATTGTTACTAATTGTACAGTGCATTTTCAAGCGGAAATTTAATAACGAGGGAAGTTATTAAATAAAGTACAGTAAAATCCTAAGTGAAAAGTTTCATGTTTTTGTAAACTTAAATTTTCTATGTACACTATACATTTTCAAACACTGGGGTTCTCCATAATCTCGATACCCCCCTTTCGTTTTGGTGCGTCTGAATAATCGCCGAAGATGAATGTTTATGTCTCGCGAATAAATAAGGGCGAGGGGTAGCAAGTCACCCAATGTAGCCAGCTAATGT